ACCAGGAATAACAGTCACAAGCTGGCAGAAGGTAGGTTTAGGTTAGACATCAGGAGGTGCTATTTCACGGTCAGGGTGGCTAGGGTCTAGAACCAACTTCCAAGAGAGGTGGTGCAGGCTCCTACCCTGGGGGTTTTTAAGAGGAGGTCAGATGAACGCCTTGCTGCGGTCGTTTGACCCCAGTACTCTTTCCTGCCACGGCAGGGGGTCAGACTAGATGATCTGCTCAGGTCCCTTCCAACCCTAGAAACTATGAAACTATAATGTCTCCTGATGTCCAACCTGAACCTTCTCTCTAATAATTTGTGGCCATTATTCCTAGTAACCCCGGGTGGTATAGAACACCTTCTTCCTAAATCACTGTTTCCTTCTGGAATAGAAATTTAATTCTAATAGCTCTCACCCAAACTAATCATACACCCATTTTATGACCTTGTCTGTAGTGTAACTTCAGTCACTAATGGCAGGGAATGGAATAGTTACCAACGTAACTACTATCTATGCAAACCTCAACTGTAGACAAAAAACTAAAGTTTCTATCCGTCTGCTCATTCTTCCTTAAAAATAGCGTAACTCCACCACTAGAAGTTGTGCCTTTTTCTTGTCTATACTTGGGGCTTGTACCATTAACTGGCCACCAGTGACTGAAATTGAGACACATTCCCAATATAAAAACAAAACCTAAAGAAGTGTTTTGTATTAAGCCAAAATTCCAGAATGCAGATCAAAGTGCAGCTTATACTGAGAGACAAACATACACAGATTCAGTAACAATGCAAAGCACAAAGGTATCCAGTTATGCCACATACTATACAGCTTAAGTGCATCTGTTCCTATGGAAACAAGAACAGAAATGGGAAGCTACAAGAGCTTGAAAAACCTCAGTTGCAAGATTCTGATCAGTTTCCCATCTTCCCAGGAAAGAAATGTTTTATCAGTAAAATAATGTAATAGGGCTGATATTTAATACTCCTACCTCCCTGGCATGTACCTTTGCCTTGCTTTCATGGAAACAAAGTAGAAAAAATAATCTAACATGACAAGATAACCCATTTCACTGTAAGTCTCTTTTCTTTTAAATAGATTTCTACAGGATGGTCTAATGTATCCTGCCCTGCCCCCCATAATGGTTATAATGATCTTATAGGGAAAATTAATGCTACTCCATTAGCATTAATGGCAATTAATAAAAGCAACCTAACTTCCATCCATCAGAATAATTTTTTTCAATCTTTAGTCTCCTAAGACATATCAGTAGGTACAATAGCCAGGAAACAGCAATGATATGCAGAAAAACATCAATACCCTCAAATACATGCACTATATACTGACCTCCAGCCAGTTTAAATTTTAGCAACTTACTTCCCATTGTATATTGACAGACAGAATCTTGGGTGCTTTTACCCAAGCCACAAGGTTTTTTTTAAGTTTGGTTAAACCAACTATTTACAAAAGTAGAATTTAACAATGAATATATGTTTAATCCAGTACTTTTTTCACTACTCCATTTGAAAGCTATTTACATTATGCTACCAGCTCCTAAAAGATTTTCTTAAAAAGATGCATTTCTACACACTAGTGAAAGTGCAGAAACGTGTGTTCCTATGTTTCTCAGGTGTTTTTAGCTGTGTGCTTAATTTAGAGCTTAAAGTACCCATACTTGACTCTGGTAAAAAGACTGAACCACCTACCTATAATCACCAAGTGTCAGACTATGGTCTACTACATCTAGAAAAGATCTTTTGGTAAGTATACAATGAATTCAAAATATACCAAAAAGTAGATTTCCTTCCATTAATAAAATATATTCACTGACTAACATCAACACAATCCTCTTTTATGAAAGCCTGGAAAGATGCATGGAATTATTCAGTGGACAAGAAAAGTCCCATGACCGCACTGGGTTGACCAGGACAGCTGTCCAAGTACAAATAAAAATGCAAGTGGGCACTCACTGTGTAAAGAGTACAGCAGGTTGAAGCAAAGATTTAGTTTAAACTATTTATAAAGTATATGAATAATACCCATATATTTTACATTTCTTCAGGGGTGGAAAAGTGGCAGTATCCAATTTCTGCCCCCTGCTGCCACACGCTCTTCACCCCTCAGAAAACTTCCAGCCTCTAGGTGTTATGTATGTATGCTATTAGCAGAGAAGTAGTAAAAAGGAGGAAGATCAGCAAAGGACACCAAATATATTAAGCACTCTTCATTCACCTAGTCTAAAACAGAACAGTAACAAAAAATGGACAATTAGTTTCATCGACACCTGCTGAGCTTTCTAGTACTCCCTTTTGTTCAGCTGCTGGAAGAAAAAAATAAAAAGCAACACCTGTCTACTTTTCACAACCAGAACTTCTCTCAAATGGGTACACCCCATTTATTAGCAGAGAAAGAGGAAGGAAGTTGAACAGGCACTACTTTCTTATTTCTTTTCTTCAACAGATTAAATAAATGCTTCAAAATGAATCAGTGCTGAGAATCTACTGAGCTCACTTGGAGCCCTCTCCCACATGCTTCCTTTAATTTTTTTTCAACTTAGGAAGGAGGGAAAAGAATCTCTCTTCCTGGCCCACCATATCCAAAACTAGGAGATTTTCTCTGGCTGAAGAGGACACATGCTCCTCCAGATGCATCTTCACTCTCCATCCATCCCTTTCTCTTGCTGGCAGGACTTCTTGCCTGTCTGTATAATGTGCCAGAATGTTAGAAACATACATCACTATTGTATAATTTAGACATGTGTTAGAAACAAACATCAGCAACAGTTTATTTACATAAGGCTGAGGCTTAGTACCCTGCTTCTGCTAACAGAGAAACACCAATGTCATAGGTGGTATTTTCAGGGGAAAGGAAGTACAGGTGATCACTAAAAATCTCTATAAATTGTAAAACACACCATTAAATTGGAAGTGATTATATAGTCTCTCTCACTCTCAAAAAAAACAGGAGCAAAACATATCAAGCCAGGGTATAAGAACAATTCTTACTTTTCCATTATTCTTATTATACCATTTTAAAAGTTTCATAACTTAAATTATCTTAATATATACCCCCAAAAAATTCATTGCATTTTAATGGTTCCTACCGAACAAAAACTTATAGTTATGGATTTCAACTGAAATTCAATGCATCAGACACTAGATTCATCTCTCCTTTCTCCATCATCATTAGTAATTCCATCACTTACCCTAGCCTACAAGCTTGCAAGTTGGGGTTTTTTTATTTTTTGGTTTATTACACCAAATATGTGCCACCCCCAAAATCCAGCTGGTTTTAGTTTCACAGCTGCTCAAAGATTCAATCCTATTAAAAAAAAAAAATCTACTAAAGCCTCCCTTTCTCCACCCTCTGATATACTGATCTTTCATATCTCTATTCTACTCAGTTTAAGTTACCTACCTTATCCATTGCTTTATTTAATCCCTGTTCAAATTTCTTTACTTGCTCCCTCTTGCCTCTCTGTGAATTCAATTTCCTTATTCTCTTTCAAATTCTTCTCTATCCATTCAACCAGACCTCAAGAGCTAAATCAATGACCACTTAAAGAAAGCTTATAATTCCTCCTACCCCCTATTCCAATAAAACCTTTTCATCCTTTTGCCCAGCAAAACCACTTTGCTTCATTTCCTCCTGTTCTTGTTAATGTTTAGGCCTGCATCTGGCAAATGAATTTGGATGGGCACAGACATGATAGTAGAACAGTTTGTATAGCATAGCCCTTCAATTTAAGCTGTGCAGGACAAGGACATTTTTGTATTTTACACTTCTGTGGTACAATTTCAGTAGATAATAGCTTAATGCATAAATATTTATTTAGAATAGTTTTGAAAACATTCACTCATTTTCAATATCCCTTAGCATAATTTAAAAGCAAAAATCCCTTATGAAGATTCACTCAGGCAGTTTCAAATCTTCTTGTGATTTAAGTGTTCCATTATAAAGAAGAAATCAAGAGCATCTTCCACATTGATGTCGTTAACAGAGAAAATCATATGAAAGCTTTATTCTGTCACTTCCTGGAGATCACAGCTCTTAACTTTTTCCATACAAGCCTTCTGTTGTGCTGTACTAGGACAGCTACATTTAGTAGCTATGTAGCGTAGCATGTGGGTGAAGTAGCTTAGACTCAATCTATAGACTAAAAAAAGAAGCCATTTTGTAACATTAAATTAGCTTAATGCGACTAAGAATATTCAATCCTTTACACTCATAGATTGAGATTAATGTCTTTATCAGATATCATGACTGACACATGAGAAGTCCCCCTTAACATGTAATTGGGCCATATTATTAGGCTAGCTTAACTTTAAAGGCTGCTTTTGTCAATCACTTGGGCGCATCTATATTTTGCATTCACTGTGCCAACCAGTGACATGCCATAACAGTGAGTGCAGAACAGAGTAACAATCTCTTGAATAGTGAAGGGTTATGGGCAAGCTAACTAGTTCTGTCTCTAAACGGTACCCAGGTACAGTACCATAATAATATGGCTATACCGATACCAGTTTGGGAGGCAGTGTGAACGGTGTAAAGTGGCCAATTTTTCTCCACAGCACTGCCTAGTAGAGCTAGATATCAGGTTAATGTTGAGGAACCTAACCTATTTTTCAAAGTTTAAACATGTGCTTCAGCTTGAATAAAGAGAGTAGAAATAGGGCCTAAAGATATGTGGTGGTACATATGTGCACACATGGATGCGCACACTTTTTCATGAAGAGAAAGGTTCACTAGCAACAGACTCTCTTTATTTTTAGACCAACAGATCCCCAGGACCCAGTCACACAAATAAAACTTTTAGCTTGTTTAAGAAAATTAACTGAAATACCTTGCTGTCAAGTTTTAGCATGACCCTTCCAAGTCCTCTGATCGGCCATGGAGCAAGAGCTTCTTGCCGTTCCTTCACAAAGTTTTCCAGAACGTGCCACCACATGCTACAACGTTTTGCCATGAAGTTCACAACTCCAAAGTGGACCACAAGCTTTTTAAGAACCCAAACTGTAACAATAAAGAAAAAAGGAATTTAAGATTAGGAATTTGACAACTGTACCATGCCTGTCTTATTCCTTCCTTCAGTAACTCTTTCTTCCACTGGACATTTAGGAAAAAATAGTATATAATTTTTTTTTCCTCTTACCAGAAATACTAAATCACTTTGACATTGTCAAAACAAAGAATATGCACTTTCTAAAAAACATTCATCTACCTGAAACTTAAATACCATCATATAAAAGGCAGCTCCATATCATCTTAGTGCGTACACAATGATCTATGGAGCAATTTTACTGATTACATGCATTGAACTGATAGTTTTGTTAAACACAAGCAACATCTCTACTTCACAGAATGAACATGAATAGCATATTCAGTGTATAATATCTTGGACATGAGGCAACTTTCCCTCCCTCAACATTTTTACCTTTTTTAGCTTTCCATATCATTAAACCAGTACCTTTCATGTCAAAGGGAGAGCCATATACTTTCATTTATACATATGTTCAGAACAACAGGAGCTACAGTTAAGTTTACAACTAAACTATCTTATGGACATCTACATTTCTTTGGTGATGAGTACAAATTCTCTAGATTTGTATTTAGATTCAGCTTGTATTGCAAATACATTTTAAAATGTGTTAATTAAGTTACAATTTCTATGTAAACCTGTACTTCTGCATTTCTTGATTATTTTACATTTGCACCCTTAAAACTGCATTAACAGATTTTTGCCTTTAAAATATGCTGGTTAAGAAACTCAGTTCATTACTTTGACTGATATTCCGAGACCTGAATTTAAGCCCCCTCCCCTTCCCCCTCTGCAAATTACTGAAATACAATTTTAAAAAGTTTCATATTGTAAATACAATTATCACATTGAGATTATTTCTTTTGTCAAAACTCAAGATGCTGAATGTCATGATTCTAATTAAAAAGTAAGTACTGAGACTTTTGTTTAAAATTTGTGTACTTAACCTACCAAACAGGTAACTACTTGAGAAATATATGATGTACATGGAACCAGTAGTTTAAAGAAAACTGTTAGCAATATAGTCATATGAGAAAACTTTAAACTATCATGGAATTCTGTGCTTTTGCACTACATGGTAAAGATATTCACAGGTAATATATTAAAATGTATTTTAATAATTATTTTTTTCTGTCGATTCAGAACTCCTCCAAACTGAATGTAAAACCTGCAGGCAAATCCTACAAAACTAAGCCATTCAACATTCATATCATGCCTCCCTTGGAAATATCTAGATATAAAAAAATGTCATGGCCCAAAAGGTCAAATTTTAATGTCTACAGGGAGTTTATCAAGTTTAACAAAAGCCTATTATCTGTAAGCTCTTTCTGTAACCATTTCTGTTCTTTCCCACAGCATTGCTTATTTTACAATTTTTCCAAAATTTGCTTTACTTGCTTACTCGTGGCACCACCATGTGGCAATCTTGAGTACCAGCTTCTTACCAAGTAATCATCTTCCTACACTTAGCACCAGTTAAGTGTCCAAAAAAGTTGAAAGTATTGTGCAAGGTTTACATCCTGCTTCCAGAGGGAAAATGAAGTCTTACATTGTAGCTTTTTTAATCTGATTCAATTGATAATAAATGCATAAACCAATTAAACTACTGCTCTGCAACACAGGTACAGCTGTTCTTTTACAGAATACAAAGAGAGCATTTTTTCTAACATTGTGCTTGCTGTTTAAACAGAGAGAGGGAGAGAGAGAGAGGGAGGGAGAGAAAAATGGGAGGCAAGCAAAAACAAAGTAGAAGCAACGGGCACTTGAAAATAAATGTGCTCCTAGTTATTCGCACTCAACACAATGAATGAATGTTTCAGATCTTCCTTGTAGGTTGGCTGCTTGTTCCATGTGGGTTTTAATGACTGGCTTTCATTAACATTTTACACTGATCTTGCTCTCTGTTCTACATTTAATAATGATTTACATATATATCCCTCTCCCCAGATAATATAGCATTAAGAGAATACATCATTCTGTTGAAGCAAAAATGGTTTAAGCAAAAATTCTAATAGTGAGAAGATGTTTCTGATGCATGAAATGGCAATTAGAGTCAAAGTCCAGTTTACGGACCTTTGGGTAAATCAGCCATTCTTTACATAAAAATCTGTTGCTCTAATGCAAGAAGCCTTTTCTCTTACAATCATCATGCCCTTGACTTTAAAATATCAACTTAAGTGAACCTGGCTTAAGTAGAGGACCTATTGTGAATATAAAAAATTTGTTTCCAGTCACGCTGCTATTATACGTTTGCTTTGTGTACTTCCTCTCCTTTGACAACCCAATTTATTTTCTTTTACCCTACAATACTTACTGTGATCCAGTGTTCCAAATGTGGTTCAGTTCATGACTGAACCACCCGTTTCTAAGATATGGTTGCAGTGTTAGTCTGAAGTCAGGGAGAAGGAAGGGCAAGGTGGCACCTTAGAGGTGGATTCAGAGAGACCACCCTACCCTGCTTTCTGCCCAACGTAATTACTGAAATCAACAACATTAAATTAACAGATTATACTAGCAAACGTACCACTGTGATGATGTATGCTGAATTTTTATATAAAACAAACCATAAGATTTTCCTAAATTGATTCCTATTTGTACTGAAGCATCTTTGGGATGGAAAAAAAGCCCATCACAACCCCTGGTAAGATGTTCTATTGGACTGACCCACACCATCATATCTGTATGTCAGTTCAAGTCTGAATCTATTTAGTTTCAGTTTACAGCCATTGGTTTTTCTCTTTGTTCACAAAACTATAAAGCCCTCTTATCACATTGCTCTTCACACTATTTCTAGACTCTAATCAAACTGCACCCAAAGCTCCTTTTTCATAAACTGAAACCTTTTTCCAAACCTTCAGTCATTCTCACGGTTTTCCTCTGAAGACTCCCAAATTTTTCAACATCTTACATTGCAGTAGCAGCTGTAGCACTGCAGTAGCAGTGTCAAACATGAATAAAAACAGCTTCTCTTCTCATATATCCAAGGAAGAGCCTCTTTACATTAGCTTTTCTGACCACAAGATTGAACCGCTCTTTAAAAGACTTCTGTCAAGCTCTGTAGAGTCATTGTTTCTCATGATGGAGACCATCCTGCATAGTCTGTTTTCCTGTTTCTAGATGTATAATTTGACATTTGACTAGATTGTCTGAGCCCAAGGAATCCAGGTCACACTGTATCAAGGACCTGTTCTCTGCTCTGTTTAACAATGTCTGTCTGAGTCACCTGCTAACAATGTTCCACATTCTTTCAGATCACTGATACAATTAATTGTTACATGGCATAAGCCAAGAACATCTACAGTTACTTCTTGTTTTTTTTAAAAAAAGAAAAAAGATATAAATGCTACTCCCAGTTGATGGTCATGTTAAGAACACATTCTCTCACAGGCATTCAAATGAGCAAATAATGGACATCCTGACCTGCTCATGATTGTAGTCACAAGTGAGCTCACACTACTTCTATCAAGAAGTATATTATTTGGTTTGCTAACCAAATGAAGCAGCCACATTAAACTGCAAAATAAATAAAATTGAAGAAAGCACTTAAGACAATGAAATATGATTTTGACTGAGGAAACACGGACACAAGGAGCACTGGAAATAAGAATTAACTACCTTAACTCTCCTACGCCATCAGTCAATGAAGATCTAAAAGCAAGATGCATATAGTTTTAAAACAGCTGCTGAGATACACAGCAAGCATAGGCAGTGGAAAGGGGGGGCTAACAGGGTTTATCCCCCTCAAATGCGGGGCAGTAGTACGGCCACAAGGCTGCCCAGCTGTGGGCTTCTGGCAGCTACAGCAGGGGTGGGGAGGGGTATGCAGGCAGCGGTGAGGGAGGAAGTGGGGCTAGGGGAGGGGCAGGCACTCAGGGCAGGATGCAGGACTGAGCCCTGAGCAGCTGGTCAGGGGGTGCGGCTCCTGCTGCTATGTGAACCCCGGAAGGCATGGGCGGGGAGGGATGTAGCCACCCCAAGATTCACTGTAGCCCACCCAACCCCCCTCCCAGCACCACTGCTACCTGCCCAGAGCGTGCACACAGCCCCACACTGAAAAAAAATTATTCCTCCCCCTACAACAAGTATGATTCCTATTTTACAGGTGGGAGAACTGAAGTCTCAAGATGGTAAAGAAAAACTTTAGATAGCCTTAGACTATTCTTAAAATTAGAAAAAACATCATGTCCTCCTTATAATAAAAATTAATATACTAAGTAATCTAGAGTATTTTTCATTAAAATTGCAGAGAATTTCCCCCCACCCCAAACACAAAGACAAAAGGAACGAAAAGCAAAAAGGAAAAACAATCCTGGCCATATGCTACTGCCTGCCAGGAAACAGAAACATAAGCAGTAACAACTCTTCATGTATTCTTATGATGTACAAATATGGTACTCCTGAACGACATTAAACATTTAGACCACTGTACAATAATAAATACAACCAAAGCAACTCTTTCATTTCATGGAAGGTAACTGTATGATGCAGGAGGATACTAAGCAGGCAAGCCATCTGGAATAACTTATTTACAACCAGGAACTGACTGAAATTGTGAAAATAATAGACTTCAAACCAGAAACTACAAGTTAATTGAATTCAAAATACATCAACAAAAGATTAGGTTTTAGGAAAAGACATTTCCAGACCCAGAAGTGGAAGGTGAAAGATTCCACATCTTCCATTTGGAAAAGGGTATGTTACACAGATATGAAAAGGCTAGGGTTTTCTGAAGTCCTATTTAACCATGAATTAATAATAACCAATTACCTGCAATAGGCACTGGCAGTAACTGCACAATCCAGAGATTCAACCAGATCTGAACTATTATGATGGCCCATACTAGAGTAACAAAATAGATATCACTGGTTTTTTTCTTTCTAAAAAAAGCTCTAATTTCAGGCTTCTGTCTACCAGAAGTGGCTGATAAGGAGGAAGATGATGATGAAGCAGGAGGGTGTTGTTCACTTTCCACTGTTCCTAAAGAAAAGAATACACCACGTTAAAGTTTATCACCAAACATAAAATATTTCTAAACAGCTTACTATGTCATCGGTTCTTAAATAATGATGTGCAAACTTTACAAAACAACCAAAACAAACAAACCAAAAACAAACAAACTTCCCCCTGGTTCCATTTGCCACAAAAAAACCCAGAAAAAGGTATAAGCTTGTATTGCTAGATATAAAACAAAAGGGAGAATTTACTGTAGTTGCAATGGTACTAGCATTATGGCAAAGATTATTAATGTTATTTTGTCTACAGGTTCGATAATATTCTAATGTTTGCTTCAGGCTATTTTTGATCAAAAAAGTCTCTATACTTCAAAGCAGATATAGCAGACTCTGAAAAGAGAGTGTTTCCATGATACAAATCACTTAAGTATAATGTACTTTTCTAATTTTCAGATACAGTCCCACTACAAGTATTTATTCATGTCATGATCTTAAATTGCTGGCTTGTCTGTCACATTTCAATAGCAATAGAAAACAGCAACCAAGAAAGCTAACTTAAAAAAATTGTGGATAAGTGTCACTCATCTTGTTCATGTAGTAATTGTTTGAAATACATCATCTTTCTAGTTTACAAACTAAAAATAAAACCATGGAAAATTAAATTTAGTTAACACCGATTACAAGTGTGGATTTCTCATTTCTAAAATTAACCCTCAATCTACAAACTATTAACATGCATTTTATTTCTGACAAACACCAGACAAGAATTCTCCAACAGAATTATGTGGTTCACTTCTGTGCTTTAAGTTTAAAAGATGAATTCTAGTGTTAAGGAGATTTGCAATTGGCTTTCCTAATTCTCTGTAGACCTCTGCAAGAAAAAAAAAAGTGAATTCTCCATGCAGTTGGCCAGTTAGGTAGATTGGTCCCTCAACTGCAAGTCACTGTTCAAAGAAACTTCCTATTCAGCACCAACATTTCAAATGAGATATTTTATTGAAGCAAGGTGCCTTATTGTAGCTGATAATCAAGAAGCTTGCTATGCATTTACTTTCTAAACTGATTTTACAGATGATAACTGACATCAACATAACTTGAATGGTCTTCCCAACCCCGATGTTGGGGTAGGGAACACCATTCATCCAGCTCCAGCAGGTCAACCAACTTCCTGGCAGCTACTGCCAACCTGTTCTTGACACAGGCTGTGGAAGGACCAACTAGGGATAAAATCACTCTGGACTTATTGCTGACATAGTAGGTGACCTGAAGATTGGAGGTACTCTGGCCGACAGTGAACACAACCCAATTAGGGTCACCATCCACCAAAAGGCTGGGAATTCAGTCAGTAGAACAAAAGTCCTAGACTTCAGAAGCCTGGTAAAATCAGGAGACTAGTTAGAAAGGCCAGCAACTGGAAGATTGGAAGATTTGGGAGTTCAGGATCAGTGGTGCTTCCTTAAGGGGGCAATTCTCAAAGTGCAAAAACAGGTCATCCCCGTGAGGTCAAAAAGCAGGAAAAGGGCCAAGAGACCTGCTTGGTTCAACAGGGATATTAGAGAATATCTGAAAAAGAAAACAGAAGCTTGTAAGTGATGGATGCTGAACCATTTTTCCAGAGAGGAATACAATCAGATGGCCAGGCTCTACAGGTATGAGACATGGAAAGCCTAGGCCGGCATGGAGATCAAGCTGGCAACCAAATAAAAAACAAAAAGCCTTCTATAAGTACATAGGGAGCAAGAAAAAAAAAAAAATATCAAGCTCCACCTTTGGACCCCTACTGAATAAAGGGAGAGGGGGTGGGCAGCCCACAGTTGATTCCCACAAAAAAGCAGCACTCCTATACACTTCACATTGGTATTCCTAAAATCAGATGGGAGCTGTTCACCTGTCCAGAGGCCCAGGAAATATGGGGAAGACAACAGTCCACATGGAACCAGTCCCAAACAGGTAAGGGTACTCTTAGAACATCTGGACATGTTCAAGTCTGCTGAGCCAGATGACCTGAATCTGAGTCCTAAAAGAACTGGCTGAGCTCATAGCAGGGCCCCTGATGAAGCTGTCTGAAGAGTCATGGAACTTGGGAGCAGTCCTGAATGACTGGAAGAGGGCTAATGTGGTACCCATCATTAAGAAAAGGAAGAGGGATGACCTGCAAGCTACAGACCGGTCAGTCCGACTACAGTCTTGGGAAAAATCTTTGAAAAAAATTGTCAAGGAGGCCATCAACCACAAGCTTGCAACTAGTGGGGTATTAACAAGCAACCAGCATGGCTCTGTCGAGGGCAGGTCATGCCTAACAAACCTGGTATCCTTTTATGACCAGGTAACTAACCAGCTGGACAAGAGACATGAAGTTGACATCATTTACCTAGACTTCAGCAAGGCCTTTGATACAGTTTCCCATGAGATTCTTTCAATTAAGCTAGAAGGTACTGCCCTAGACCAGTCTACAGTGAGGTGGGTTGGAAACTGGCTCAGAGGCTGATCCTAGAAAGTTGTAATCGATGGGATGGCTTCATCCTGGAAAGCCATCTCCAGTGGTGTCCCCCAGGGATCAGTGCTTGTTCTCTTTAACATCTTTATCAATGATTTGGACAAGGGGGTGGAAAGCACAATGATTAAGTTTGTGGATGACACCCACACTGTGGGGAAATGCAGACACATCTGATGATAGGGTAAGAATCCAGGATGATCTTGACAGACTGGATCTATGGGCTGAACACAACCAAATGAGGTTCAATAGGGACAAGTGCTGGGTCCTCCATTTAGGTAGGAAGAACCTTCACCATAACTATATGATGGGTGGTGGTCCACTGGCTGGCACTGCATCTGAAAGGGACCTGGGGGTGACAATTGACCAGAAGATGAATATAAGCCAACAGTGCGATGAAGTTGTCCGCAAGGCAAATAGAACTCTGGCATGCATCAGCTGATGTGTTGCAAACAGATCCAGAGGTGCTCCTCCCCCTCTATTCGGCATTGGTGAGGCCATAGCTGGAGTACTCTATCCAGTTCCAGGCATCACACTTCAGGAAGGACATGGATAAGCTCGAAAGGGTACAAAGAAGGGCCACCCATATGATTAAGGGCCTGGAGGACAGGTCCTATGAGGAGAGACTTCAGGAACTGGGTTTGTTCAGTCTGAGCAGGAAAGACTTAGAGGTGACTTAATAGCTGCCTACAAGTATCTCAAGGGTGAACACCAAGATCTAAGGGAGCAACTCATCAGAAAGGAACCCCTTGGGAAGACAAGGACCACTGGGCACAAGCTAATTGAGGAAAAATTTAGGCTGGACATAAGGAAAAACTTAGTTTCCATAAAGGTATCTAGAATCTGGAACACACTCCCAGCAGAGGTGGTGCAGTCGCCATCCTTTGAGGTGTTCAAGAGAAGGCTGGACAAGCACCTTGTTGAGCTTATTTGAGTCCAATAACCTCCTGCCCATGGCAGGGGACCAGACTTGATGATCTTAAAGGTCCCTTCTGGCCCTTTGATTCCATGATTCTATGAACGTTTATGATTGTGTTGGAAGACCAGTTACAGCTTAATCTGAATTAGCCGTCCCATGCTGAAAAGGGGACAATTTTACAATTGTACACATTATTGTGTAGGTAAAAACCACACACTTCCACTGAAGGACATTCTCTCAAAATTATATTTATCAGCATCAACACTTTAGCTTTCCCAGGGGGAGAAAATAGGTGTAGGAACTACAGTATTTCACAGCACAGTGCATGCATATAAACAAGGCAACTGTCATACTACACGCTGCCTTTCATCTCCAACTCTAAAGTCATTGCTAGTTTGTGAAATGACAGCCTAGAGTATACAACTCAAAAACAGATACATGATAAAGTCCATCACAAATATTACAATGATAAACCACAAATGCTGAAGCCTTACACAGTGGATGAGCATCTTCTATTCTGTCATGTTACCTTGTACTGGGTGTCCCGTCCCTGAGAAGAAAAGCAAGATACTTACCAGTAACTGAAGTTATTCAAGATGTGAAACTATGTGTTATCCACCTATACATCCTCACTACAGATATGCTCAACCTCTGAACCTTTGACCCAGAGGCTCCTTGCCTTACCAGTACAGGTTTCCCTTACTTTGTTGTACAGGCATTCCTGGAAAATGGTACATAACTCGAATTCGCATAAAGGGAACCCACTTTACAGTGTAACAAATAGGAGGGATACGTTCCAAGACCTTGACTGTATGGACCCCCAGACCTTTTTTTTACTACTTTTATAAGACAATTTTGGTACTCACCAACAGCAGACAGTACACACAAGTACAGGGCATTATCATAATGGGGATGGCAACAATAGAAACACGTGTATAGACAACAAATGAGGAGCACAGATCCATGCAGGAGACTATATTTTGGTGCATGTCACTCCCACAACGCACCACACAAAGCAGCTGGCTGCATGCTTTCACCACACTGATTGCTTAAGAGTGAATTTACCTCGCATATAACAAATTTTTGGTATAAGAAGGGTCATTGCATAAGAGCAAATTTGCACATACAGAACTCGCATAAAGCATGGGAAACCTGTACTCACAGAGTGTACTTTATGGAAACACACCTATCCCTTTTGCCTCTACTGCATACTGAGCCATGCGCATGATCAGAGGGCAAGAGAACAAGCCCTCTGAGGAGAGGCTAAGAGCCATGGGACTCTTCAGCATGGAGAAGCAAAGGCTCAGGGGTGACTTGGTAGCAGCCTAAGTACTTAAGAGGTGTGCATCAGGACCTGGGGGAACACCTGTTCACCAGAGCACCCCAAGGGATGACAAGGTCCAATGGTCACAAATTCCTCCAAGACTGTTTTAGACTGGACATAAGGAAAAACTTCTTTACTGTCCAAGCCCCCAAGGCCTGGAACAGACTCCCAGGAGGTGATGCAAGCACCTGCTCTGGACTCTTAAGAAACATTTGGATGCTTATCCTTTGACCCTACCTGACTTCCTGTTGTATGGGCAGAAGGTTGGACCCAATGATCTTGCAAGGT